TTAAATACACTTTACATTGGCAAAATTAAAAACCACATGCTTCCATCTCTGTAATGCTGTGGTTTGGGTTAACCAGGAAAGTAAGATGGGACAGTTATGAAAGATCTGATTAAATCTGGTGATATAACATGCATTGTTTTGGTGCTTTGTGAAAGAAGGTCCAGTTCACCAAATCTGCTTGTCAACAGACTTCGGTCGTCACACGTGTAGAAGATATAGAATTTTTTTATTTCGAGTTTTCTGAATTCTGAAGTGACATTTTGATTCTCTATTGCCACCTCATGATAGATTTGTGTTTTGCACCATTATAGCTATAGTAGAAGTGGTGGCCCTCACAAAGAAGTCACAGAACATGGGCCACACAAAGGCATAAAGACGTGTGTGTGTGTGTGTGTGTGTGTGTAATACTGCAGGTAGAGAGAGGCAGCCAAGCTCTCTAAATCAATTTTTCATGGCTTTCTTACACAAAAGAGGGACACAACCTATACACACATAAACACACACCAAAGCACATGTTCGTAGCTTCACAAATAGTCACATGTTTTGACAGACTCATAGTGCAAAGATATGTAGAGCTATATAGTTACATGTTCATGTAAGTGTGCAGACATATACTGTAGTAAACACATGTTGTGTGCACATATCCCAAACATACACAGACGTGTATACAGTAGTGTATTGATCATGTGCCAGACATTGTATGTACTGAAAAAAATGTAAAAAATGATGATTTATCTTGGTGTTTAAGTTATTTGTGTTTTTTTGGGGAGGGGGGGGGGTTGCTTGTTTTTATAAATCTAAATTTAATAAAAGACTTAAAAATTAAAAGACAGTCCGTTGTTGCTTCAGTGGGAAAAGTATTTTTCAGCTGACAGCAAAGTTTTATTTAAACTATGTTGGTGTTTAAGTTGTGTTTTTTTTTGGGTTGTTTGTTTTTATAAATCTAAATTTAATAAGACTTAAAAATTAAAAGATCGTCCATTGCTGCTTCAGTGGGGCAAGTATTTTTCTGCTGACAGCAAAGTTTTATTTAAAATATGTTGTCATTTAGTCTCTGCATTTTAATTGTGTACCATGTTGCAAAGTTATTTTTTACTGTATTATTATTATTATTATCATTGGTAACCTAAAGGTTCTGTCAGCTTGATATTCAGCATTCTAGGACCACACTGTAAGTTAACTTAATGCTTTACTCAGATACTCTTTAACATGAATCAGACAAGAGTGTAGCTGCGGGTGTAAAAGGAACATATGTGTGATTTATCAATTTGTACAACAGTAATATCACCCAGAATGTTCACACACGTCTGTTGGAAATTATTTAATAACCAGTTTCACCCATCTTTCAGGCAGGCCTGACATATTAGACATTTGTGGATGTGTTAAATGACCATACTAACCATAGAACTGGTTCCTTATCATGATTGTCTTCTCTGGGATTATGTTACAATGCATCTAAGTTACCTGAAGGACACACACAGTTTCCTTTCATCTGCACACAAGGTACAAGAGTCTAGAGGACATTAAGGTGGAGTGCCTCACACTCAGTGTATCATCATGTAATCACAGTGCAGCTGCTGCAGGTTAATCACTCATATCACACCTTCTTAAACAAGGATAGTGTATAAAGTGTTTTACAACAGGTAAAAACAACAACATGCTACACAGTAGGCATCAGACTGAGAGACATGACACAGTGTAATAAAACCTATTAAGGCTACAGAATGATTAAAATTACATGAGATACTGTGAAGGTCAGAGAAAAAGTAAAATGAGAAAGATAGAACCTAGGACTGACATTACACTGCAGGATTTTTGCAGTTGTAACCAATCATATTAAAAGTATAATAAACCACTCTAGCTATCTGTAATTTATCAGTGAAGTTGGCTACCAAGTAGGCATCCAATTTTTTTATTTTTTAAAGGCATGCTCATTTCCAGCCATTTAGTTTTTAATCTTGGGTACTTCTGGATTAGCTTGGCACCCATCATATGTCAGAATATGAAAGTGGACAGCATGACAAACTGCAACAGCATTAATTAATTTGAATTCCTCCTCCATAAATAGGTAAATAATGGTATATGTAGCGATAAAGAGATCTGTAACACCCTAAACAAAACAGGTAATTAAGAAACCCCATATTTTAACTGGCATAATACAGACATAGTAACTTAAGTTACAAAAATTCTCTCTACAAAAACAACACAATAACAGACATGCAATGTGTGTGTGTTTTTTTTTAACTTACTGTGTGTGTTATGTTCCATGGAGTAGTGGAAACATCCCTTTCAAGTAGCTCCAAGGTTGGTAAGTCCAACCGGTTATCGCTGAATCTTCCCCCACATATCTCTCACATTACAGGCAACCACGTACATTCCCAAAGTAGCGAAATTAATTCCAGGCAGGCAGCGTAGCACCGACAGTAACATCATGGATCATTAGAATCCTCTCTCTAACCCGCAACACATCACATGTGCCAGACACACTGGCCTCAAGCAGTCAAAGCAAACAGGTACTGTGCTCCAGAGGAATCCAGCGTTGATGAACTGATCATTCACCGCCCCAGGGTGCTTCACTGCCCAGCTGTTTGTAGGTTACCAGCTGCTCTATTCGCACCATATTAGACCCAGTCAGGTAAAACAGTGGGTCCCTGTACAGGAACATTCCCAGACATGCAGTAACCTCAGGCCCTGTATTTTTCTTCACATCCTCTGGTCACAGTGCAGGCAGCAGGGACCGGTGGATGTCAAGCAAGCTCGCATAAATGTGCACAGCCAGGAAAATATGACCATTCAAGGAAATTCGTGAACTATTGTGTAAGACTTTAAATAGTTGGAAAAAAAAGTCACACCAGTGAGCGTTCACAAGACTTGCATAAAGTATAGAGTTGCTTCTGCATAGAAGTACAACACAGGTACACCTCATCTTTTGAGCTTTTAGTCATGTTTAAGATGATAATTCATCGTTGTAACATTGGAGACAGGTCAGAAAACACAAAAACGTCATGGGCAAATCAAATAAAAATTGGCAGATCACTGGACATTAATTGTACTGTATTAAATATGGAGGTATAGCAGAATAAACATATGATAGAAGCATTAGTTAAGCACACCTGCTGTATTAGCGCTGGTTTGGGGTGATACTGGGTGCTCTATGTCAGTCTTGAACAGCAAACCCCCAGAGATGCAGGAGTACATGTTTGTCTATTATTGCTAGCATTGTCACATGTGTATGCTGTGACCTTATCTCTAAGTCCCCAGTGTTCTGCTGGGGTGGAAAGAACATTTGCCAGGATTTCAGCAGTATGCTCTGGCATTGCTTTAGTCTGTATTTTCCATTTGCTTATAGAATGGCAAGTGATTGCCACATATGATTCAATTCAAAGCACTGTCCATGCATCCGTGGTCAGAGATACCTTTTCAACACTTATCAAATGACTGCACAGCTCACAGGCATTATCATCATTGGGGGGGCAACAGTGGTGCGGTGGGTAGGGCAGTCGTCTCCCAACTAGAAGGTTGAAGGTTCAAATCTTGGTGCCAGCAGTCCACGTGTCAAAGTGTCCTTGGGCAAGACACCAAACCCCCCATTGCCCCTGATGGTTAGAGCCATCAGTTGAGGTGGCGCCGCAGATGGCTGCCATCGGTTCTGTACCGGAAACAAATTCCATGTGTGTAACATACTTGGCCAATAAAGGTGATTATCCTTATCATACACTTTATCCCATCGTACTGTGACTATTTTTCTTGATGGGGCCATATACTCCAGCTGAACAAATGCCATCAAACTTTGAAAACACTCCTCCTCGATGAAGCTAATGGATAGCATGTCCTTTGCTGATGAGGGCCATTAATAATAATAATAATAATAAACTTTATTTATTATTATTATATTATATTGTTTGTTTTGCACACCGATCATCCAACTTTTTTCCTCGGGTGACAGAGCTAGCCGATTACTGTCTACGGACCGCATCCCACTTTCTGCTGGATGCCTTATGATATGCTTACTTAAAAGACAGAGTTTGCACCTCATTTTCATTTATTTTCTCAAATAAGTTCCACACAGAACTTTTTGATGGCTATAATCTCTGTTTCTGCTGTTTGTATTTGGCGCTATAGTTAAATGATATACTGACCTTGTTATTGTGTTATTTTTAGGTGCCAGTAAAAGCACAGGAAAACAATGACTGATTTTAAAGACAAAACCATAGTTGCATAAAATTTACTATTATTCCTAATTATTTATTATTGAAATATTCAAAGAACATTGTCCATCCCTATTATGCGTCAAGAGAGTTTGACAAGCAGACAAAATGTTTCCATAAAGATAAATTATTTTTTAACAATAGAGCTATAGGATACTTTTGTTTCTTTTATGGTCTTATACATGTGACTTGAGTCATTTATGATGTACTTCTTTTATGTTTAGCTGTTTAAAAAAAAATCAAGGAATGCTCCTGTTAGACTGAACCATTCATGGAAAATATGCCCATATTTCTGTGTGAATAAACTATTAGTGCACTCATCTTCTCCCACTGCCCACCTCTGAAAGCTTTGCCTCAAAACCACAACCCAAAAATTACCCTGAATGTGCACGTTGTGTGTATCTGTAGCTTTGGTCCCATCAAAAGTATGTTTGTAGAAAATATCTGCAGTATGTGCAGGCTACTTTAGTACATCTTTAATTCCAGTTATAAACTGAGAGACTAGTTCTGTTGAAACAAAGTATGTTTGAAAGGAGAAGTAACATCACAAACGGACTTACCTTTTGACCAGTTATCTCAGAAACCACAAGCCTTACAGCTTTCTGCCTCCAACCATCCTCCGAAAATATCCCAAAAATAATAATAATAAAATAAATTTAAATAAGGAATGATCAAAAATCTCTCACAGGACAAGACATCGAAGAAAAACGGCCACCCCTTCAGTGAAAGAAATCCATGCATTCAAGATCCTGGTCAAATAATTAATGTAAGATTAATCCTTCCTTCTGTATAGAGACAATCCCCCCAGCTTCCATTCAACCCACCAGTGATTTGATAAAAAGGAGGGATTGTGCAGAAAGATGATGGGTTGTAAAAAACGAGGTGAAGAGAGGCTTAGAGACACAGGAGGAGGATAAGGTCCTTGAAGGGAGAAGGCTGGAGATAGATAGTTAATCCTTTCCTTTAGATCTATTCCCTCTATGAATGATACGTCCAGTGCCGTCCTGCTCGCTGGCTCATGCGCTGCCGTGTGTGTCTAAGAGGCGTGAGTGTGTGAGAAAAACAGAGAGACAGAGTGTGTGTGTGAGAGAAAAAGAGAGACAACAGTGTTAGGTTGCTGGCGTCATGCATCAGCTCTTCTGTATGTCGCTATGTTTGTGATTCCTGCACTCAGCACACGTCAGAGTGTGCGTTTATCCATGCATGTACACTGGAGGGCTGTCTTTCTGGTGTGCCTATGTGTGTGTGTCCCACCTCCCCTTCTTCTTGTTCATATGTGTGTGCAGTCGTGCATGTAGCAGGAAAACGCGTGTGTGTGCGTCTTGTCAAATATAGTAACATTAGTATATGCAGCCTCTGTCTGCCTGCAGTTCTCCTACTGTGACAGAGAGAGGATGATGGAGGTGGAATACAGAGAGAGTGATAATACCGAAGAGTGAAAGCCGAGTGGGGGAGAGAGAGAGAGAGAGGAGAAAGATGGAAGGGCAAGGAGAAAGTAGAGAGTGAGTGGGAAGTGGAGAGAGAAATAGAGAAGAGGTTGGTTGATAAAAGAACGGAGGGAGGAAGAGAAAGAGGGAGAGAGAAAGAGAGATATGAGCAAGAAACGCTGTAGCAGGAGAGAGAGGGAGGGATCAGCTGATTTCAGTGGAGATGAGAATCTCCCTCTGCCACATGGGCTTTTCTCCTCCTTTGATTTTTTTCCTGTTTTTTTTCCTTTTTTCTCCTCACATCTTCTTTGCTTGGCTTTCATTTTCATCCTATTCCCTGCAGCAGCTGTTGTAATGGCTGGCTTTGTGTGTGAGTGCATGTGTATGTAGAATATTTTGGGGCATCTGCATGGCTGTATGTTCACATGTGATTTTTAATGTGTGTTCTTGAATTATTTACAGCTTGTTCCTCTAAAAGGAAAATATAACATTTCAGGGTGAAGGTAGGGATCCTGGTTGAGGTTAGGCTAAATCATCAAGGAGTTCAGGTAAGTCAATGCAGTGTTGTCCACATTATAGTGTGTGGGGTGCACTAAAAAGTGAAAGTCATTGTGAGAAAGCAAAATGTTTTGGAAGACACCAATGACAGTTTTCAGGACAAACAGAAAGAGAGGGGGTGGAGGAGTAAAACAAGGTGTGAGGAGGAATAGGAAATTGGGGGGGGGGGGCTTTGTTTGTTTGCACACAGCATATAATTACTTGGCTGCTTCCTTACATGGACTGAATCATAATTGACACACACATTGTGCTGTTAACCCAGCATGTGAATCATTTGGCACTGTTGGCAGTGTCTAGACGAGAGACTAGTTGTGTCCATAAGGAATTGAAGTGAAACATTTTTTACCAGCTAAGCATCTTTTTTTTCTCTAAGGGCACCTACATTAGCAATAGCACTTATGATCCAGGTGTTTTTATTGTCTTTCTTTTCATAGCTTATGTACCAGGAGTGTTTTCCACCCATCCATCTTATATGTATTGTGTTACTTCTGCTAATATGGCTGTGATAGAGGCTGTCTGATTGATATCTTTGGTCAGATACCTGGGATTTACAGCCAGTGGCCCCAAATGTCTTCCCTGCTGAAGTGTCCTTGTGCAAAACATCAATTCATGACAGATCTCAGGCTATTGTTGCGTAAGGTAAGAAAACTCAAACTATCAGTCAAATCAAAGGATTGGTATCAGGGCCAATCGTTAGTGCTTGGTGTCAGTTGTAGTGATGAACACACATGTAATCCAGCCCTTGTCTTTGCTGTTCAGGAGCATCTACCTGCATACTTTCTTGAGTTTGCACACAGGCCAGTTAAAACACTAGACAGGTCAGCTGCCCAACACACACACAAATATAACCTGAACATGAGTCCTGCAGTTTCCTGTCCAAACGTGGGTGCTGTGCTGGCTTCATTCATCTTAAATGTACCTCCTGGCAAAGAGAAGTCTATATTAGCCACCAGTAGCTGCTGCCAAAGCCAGCTTTGTAGGACACACTCTTCGGTGGTAGTTGTGAAAGATGACTGATAGAATGTCTAGAATAGCAGTGAAGGAGCCTCTTCATAAACGTTATATTTTGGCTTTTGTTATTGTTGAAGGACATTACAAAGTGGAATGGATATTAAATAAATCACTAATAATCTTTGGTAGTTTTACACCTCTTCTGTTCTGCATCATGCTTCACCTTGCACTGGCTAGAGTAAATATTTTTGATCATGGGTAGACAGCCTCAGTATTTGGGGGAATTTGCTACAACCAAAAATATTATTACATGCAGCACAGTATGTTAAAATGGTTTAACTATTATGTTAATTACTATTAATCCTAGTTTGTAAATGTTGGCATAATTTTATAACCAAGGGTTTATGACTCACCCAGTCTCTTCAGGAAGTTCTTTTGAGACTTTGTTAACTAATTGAGAGGAACGGGTTAACCACATGAGCTTGATTCATTTGGTTGTCCGAAGGATGTGTCCACTTTTTTTGAGCTGCTTGCTTGGCAATGAGGCCTCCTGGCATGCAGATCCATTGTAAGTGCCAACACCTTCTGCCAAGGCAATATTTATGGATGGTTGTGTTCCATCACTGATGAAGGAAATAGGGGGTTAGATATATTTTGGACGGGAAAGCATTACGCATTTTGTATTCTTCATTGATCTTACCATACTTAGAGTATGGCGTTGAAAACTGGGGAAATACATACAAAAGCTCACTTCAACCATTGTATATATTACAATAATTATATTGCGATATATTGCGATAAGAATTGTGCATAAGATGGGATATAGGGATCACACCAATGCAGCTTTCATACAGTCTAAATTGTTAAAATTTTTGGATATAGTAGGATATAAGACTGCTGTGTTTATGTATAAAGCCAGTAAAAATTTATTACCTGGTGGTGAAAAAAAGTTATTTAATGAAAGGGAGGGGGGATATAATTTAACAGGTCAGTTAAACTTAAAAATTCATGCTATATGTGCAACCAAAAAAAGATTCTGTATTTCCATAAGTGGTGTAAAACTATGGAATAATTTAAATGTGGACATAAAAAATAGTACTAGAATTGATGAGTTTAAACATAAGTATAAAGGTATGTGTCAATCAAGATACATGCAAGAACAGGTTTAATGATCAATCAGATGGAACATTGTGGGTGTGGGGTAAGAATGTTGCACTCTGTAATAATTCTTTAATATACTACTTGTGTGGCGTAGAAGATAATTATCTATGAATGTAATTATGTAGAATGTTAACACTCTGTAATAATTCTGTAGTATATTACTTGTGTGGTGTAGAGGATAATTATTTATCTAGAGATATTGCTTAGGATTTAAAAGTTGTAAAATGATGTCATGGGGTAGGACTAGATAAGTCTGACTTCTTCCTACTCCGTTCAAGCATGTACTAGGTATAAGTAAATTGATATTGGATTATTATTGTTGGATATGTGTGAAATTACATGTGTTGACATATCAACTGTTTTACATGCTTGAATGAATAAATCAAATCAAATCAA